AACTAACTGCTGAGTTATTGAGTTATGGGTCTGGGACTCACCTGTGGTTAAACTAACTGCTGAGTTATTGAGTTATGGGTCTGGGACTCACCTGTGGGTGAACTAACTGCTGAGTTATTGAGTTATGGTTATGGGTCTGGGACTCACCTGTGGGTGAACTAACTGCTGAGTTATTGAGTTATTGAGTTATTGAGTTATGGGTCTGGGACTCACCTGTGGGTGAACTAACTGTTGGATTATTGAGTTATGGGACTCACCTGTGGTTAAACTAACTGCTGGGTTATTGAGTTATGGTTATGGGTCTGGGACTCACCTGTGGGTTAAACTAACTGCTGAGTTATTGAGTTATGGTTATGGGTCTGGGACTCACCTGTGGGTGTGGTTGAACTTCTGCACCAGCCGGCCTCCGTCGGCCAGCCGGATCTGGATGTTGGTGGTGGGCTGGGCGGGGTCCAGGCCCACGGAGGCACTGGCCTGGGCCTCGTTGGTGGCCTGGTCCTGCTGGGAGGGGGCCGGGGCCGCGGTCAGCTCCGGAGTGGCACTGGAGGGAGAGGGGGGGGAGGGCAAAAAATAACATAAAACAAAACAGAAATAAGTATTTGACCCCTTGCTGATTTTGCAGGTTTGCCCACTTACAAAGAATGCAACGATCTATAACTTTAATCATATGCACATTCTAACAGTGAAAGACAGAATCCCAAAGAAGATTCCAGAAAATCACATCATATGAATTTATAAAAATGTATAGCCGTCTGATGGGGAAAAATAAGCATTCTTTGTAAGTGGGCAAACCTGCAAAATCAGCAAAGGGTCAAATACTTATTTCCCCCACTGTAACTCCACCTCAAAGACCAATTATTAACCAGACACTGAGCTTAAAGGAGCTAACACACAGAGTCAGCCCATAGCAAACTGGGCCCAAACTGGGGGGACTGGTTTTCCTTTTATATAACAGACAGGTTATGATTCCACAGCAGCTTTCAAATCAGTGGAAAGTAGGGTTGTCAAAAGTATCTATACTTAAAAAAGTATCTCTATACTAAAACGAAAACAACATACAGTGGGGTAAATAAGTGTTTGACCCCTTGCTGATTTTGAAGGTTTATCCACTTACAAAGAATGCAACGATCTATAACTTTAATCATATGTACATTCTAACAGTGAAAGACTGAATCCCAAAGAAAATTACAGAAAATCACATCATATGAATTTATAAAAATTTACATTTCTTTAACTCTGCAATGGTAACATCCAATCACAACACTACTCAGGTTAAATGGAACATATGGCTCCTGAATTATTTACAGAGTAATGAGAACAGAGACAACCGTTCAAACAAGCGTTTCAGATCATAATCGATGGAGAAAATTAAGTTGGATCCAATATTTTTCAGCAGTTTCAGACATAATGGTATTAAAGCTGCATTGAAGCAACAGGAAAAATAAGCATTCTTTGTAAGTGGGCAAACCTGTAACTCCACCTCAAAGACCAATTCTGACCCAGAAACTGAGTCAGCCCAAAGCAAACTGGGCCCAAACTGGGGGGACTGGTTTTCCTTTTATCGAACAGACAGGTTATGATTCCACAGCAGCTTTCAAATCAGTGGAAAGTAGGGTTGTCAAAAGTATCTATACTCAAAAAAGTATCTTGATACTAAAACGAAAACAACATACAGTGGGGGAAATAAGTATTTGACCCCTTGCTGATTTTGCAGGTTTGCCCACTTACAAAGAATGCTTATTTTTCCTCATCAGATGGTTATCAATTTTTATAAATTCATATGATGTGATTTTCTGGAAGTTTCTTTGGGATTCTGTCTTTCACTGTTAGAATGTACATATGATTAAAGTTATAGATCGTTG